TTAGTTTTTAGAGATAGATATTTCTTCAGATTTTATTTTTATTTTTGATTCAATATTTTATCTAGACATAGATTAGGAGATTTTATTTGATTATCTAATTATTTAGATTTTATTTAAATTGTATTTGGTCCTATAAATATGACTAGCAATTTAGAAGCTAGCACATGATTATCACCAATAAAGTAATCTTCCAACCCTTTGATTCTTATAAGCGTGGCTATTGAGAAAGGTATAAAGCGAGATTCTTGTTCTATAATATCTTAATAGATTTGTTCTTATTATTTCGGTTGATTATTTGAGCACCTATCAGGTATCATCACAATCAAGTCAAGGATCATATTCATTGGCATTCCAACCAAGGCCTTGGATTGTTGTGATTTGCGAGAAGAGAGTTTTACAAACTTCTCATTCAGAATTTCATGCCTGAAAGGTAATTAATTTTGCATGGTCAAGTTAATTAGACTCAACATATATCATGTTAATGATATAGTATAATGATGTGATTAAAAGGAACTAAACATTGGATATCCAATAAGGTGAAACCTAATCCCAAGGTTTGATTTTCTAATTTGCAGTTGACTGCAACTAATTAGTTTATAGTTATTTTTTATTTCAATTTGCCTGTTATCTAACAATCATAATGATTGCATAATCTGGTGAGAATACGTCCATGTTTTACCACTATCCTTTACTCTATGCACTTGCTAAAATAAACGAGGTTGAACTTGTAGCTTCTCACCCTCACCTTGAGGTATTGAGTAGTGTTAGGATATTCAAGTATGAGTAGACTTGAATTGATGTGAGAAGTCTAACATCAAATAATTTCAGGCTTAAACTCGACAAGTGGTTAATGCCATCAAGTGTTTTGGTTATCATCACGATTTCAAGTCAATATGCGAAGAGGGTTTTACAACTTTTCATTCAGAAATATTCCAAGCGTGGAAAATTCATTAATTTTCCAACTTTCAATTCCAAATTGTATGTACTAGGTACCCGAGTACTTGTATTAATTTTTTGTTTGGATTGTTTTGTACTATTTGTACTACTTTGGACGGCCTTGGGAAAAGGAAGGATTATTAATTGGCTGGGAATATTATTAATTTTTTTTTTACAAGCATGATAAGTTATGCTTGAAGATAAAGTTGTGCTTTGAAACAAAGTTAATGCATGTTCAGAATAATTTGAGCTGACAATTATGTATGTAGAAATAACACAAGTGCAATATTAAAGTACATATAACTCTAGTTGAATTAAAAACACTAGTGATCTAATATAATGGAACATCACAGCCAACTTGCTCATTGTGTTATATACATATAGTGCACTTCTTGAACAGTACAAAATTTGTTGTAGGGCAATAGTATCATAGATGTTCACTCTCGTCAACAAAAATCAAGAGTTCAAACACCAAAAGAGAAAGTCACTTTTCATTTCATAAATTAACCAGCAGATTTTAATTAGTGAAAGGCATTTATGAAAAAATTGCATTTAAAGAGAATACATGATAACTTAAAATTAAATATTTCACTGATCTCTTTCTCTTCCCTAGCTTATATAGTTCAATCCGATAAAACTATGTCCTCAAAAATAACCCAAAAAGAATTAATTCCTTTCTCTTAAATGTTTGTCCATTTCATCCGTAACTATGTGTACTGATGAACTGATGTATAATTGATATCACTTCATATCGTACTTAAATTTGCGGAATTTAAAGTAATTAACAATGCTAATATTTCAAACAAACAACAAGGGATTGGAAAAGAAAAGTAAAGTACTTAATTAATTAAGATGGAAGAACATGAATATATTACCTGGAGCTCGCAAATTTGGGGAGAAGACGATGAGAGCAATCTCAGCATCACAAAGAACTGAGGGCTCAAAAGCTTTCCTTGAGAGTCCATTTCGTCTCTGCTTGTCGCGTTCTCTCTATGCTTCATATGTGTCTTCCCTTTCACCATCTTTTCAATTCTCTCTCTCTAAGCTAATTTCTGCAAATCCCAAGCAAGACCTTTAAGACCCACAAAACACATACCCCAGAGAGTAAAGATATAAGTTCAAATTAATGCCAACAGATCCAATGCTCACAGCACCAGCAAATCCGAAGTCCTTAATTAGTTAGTTAACCAGCTTGAAAGGTAAACTTCAAATTTGGGTATTACTTCTCAGAAAGGCTAGAAAACCAGAAAGGCTGGATAAAGGAAGAAAGATTTTATACAAGATAAGGCAAAAAATTCCCAGAAGTCTAGAGAGTTCATATATAAATACATGCGAAAGGAAATTAAAGGAACGAAAGGGAAGATTGAAAAGGAAAGAATCCGAAGAGAAACAAAAGGAAAGACCCAAAAAGGGACGAAGCCTTGTGAAAGCGGGAAACGCACCTTTCCTTATTAATCGATCACTTCGTCTCTGGTGATGCACAACCATAGTAAGAAAGAAAAGGGATTTTATGGTAAGAGAACTGAAATCTCATGCCTTGCCTGATCTGGAAAAAATCGAGGCCACACAACATCCCCAAAAGGAAAAAAAAAAATATATATATATATATATATAATAATTCGTAAATGAGGAGGGGACATGAATGAAAGTGACAGACCCATATGGTAATTTTTTATGGGAAGACTGGCATAAAAATACCCATAAAATATGAAAATCCCAGATGAGGACCTTGAAATGGTATAATTACCATGGGATCCCAAGGGCCTTCTTTGGGATTAAAACTTTTAATGAAATTTCTTTACTACCTCTCTATGTTAAAAAAAGAAAAAAAAAACAAAGAAAGAAAGAAACACCCAACGAATGGCTTCCTCTCTTCAATTTCTTCCCTTCTCTCATGCTCCTAACAAGTGTTTCCATGAGAGATGATGTCAAGTGTAGCATTTAATAAAATAACAAATATTTTGAAAAAAGTTGAAGTGAAATCACTCAAAGATTATTTGCTAACATTTAAGTAACCCAGTAATGCAAAAATCTTTATGCCAATTATAATTATGCACAATATGACCTAAACAACCACAACTCCAACATATTCTACAAAGATCATTCATAACAAGCTTCAATCCTGATTTTCCTATTGTCATCAAATTGAAGCAAAACATCCATAATTAGTGGTAACAAACAATTAATTTCTACCTTGACTCCCAAATGATGAATATTACCAAGTGTACCTTCTTGATCATATTCTAAAAAATATCAAATAAATCACCCAAAATCATTGCAATCTCCTTGTTGATATATTCTAATGGAAGGCCTCACATTTGAAGCCACATATGAATTTTAAACGCAAAGATAATCAACAATGGTATTTGACTGCCATTCTTTAACATGTAAGACCATGTTCATATTGATGATCATTTTTATTCTTAAAATGAAGAAGGAACACACTGATGCGAATGCTCTGAAATTGAACATTGTTTCATAACGACCAAGAACTACATATTACTACTAACAAGCAGTGCTTAGGAACTTTTTTAGCGTCCACGGTTATCCCAGTGAGGTACTCAAATAAAAATTATCAATGTTTCTATAGAAATAAATGATGAAAAACTAACCTTGGGGCCTTTCCTAAAAGGCCTATGAAACTTAAATTGAGATTTTGATTTTGCATATGAAGACATCGGTATATCAAAGTCAAAGCTCTGATATAGCTTCTCACCAATCAAGTGATCACTAATGAAGGTTGATGAAACCTCTAAGATGAAGTTCAAGCAACCAAGAAAAGTGAGAGGGAAAAATGATGATGGCTTATATGAAAGCAGCAATGGAAAAAGATTATGAATACTTGGTCATGTACCAGAAAAATGGATCTGGACAAGAATCAAACAAGAGCATGGGGAGCCACGTAGTGCATATAATAGAGATTAACAATCAAACTTTGGGGGTTGGTAGATCAACAACCTTAAAAGATGATAGCAAGGAACTTGTCTCAGTAGAACTTTGGCATGGGTTCGTATAGTGAAAGTGAGTAATCTCCTAGCTAGGGGTTATGATATAGGGGCAAAAGCGAAATTATGCCAGTTCAGAATAAAACTTGTAACACAAATAAGAATAAAAACAAACAAAAGTAAAAACGAATCAAAAGAACAAGAAAGAACAAGATAATGAACAAGGAAAAGAATTCCTTAGCTACGAGTGATAAATGAGATGTGATAAATGTAGGGGCAAATCTTTTTGCACCTAGATGCATAATTTTTCTCCAACCCTATATTTCCTAAGCCATGGCAATAAGATAATTTGATGATAGACAAAAATATTTATCTTTGATACCTTAATTGCAAGTACTGACACATAAAACATGCTTGCAATGTCTGTTAAAGTAAAATTCAAATAATCAGCAGCACAAAGTGATTAATAAATACTTTTATATTTGTCCCCAATCAACTTACCATATGCTACACAATTAGCAACATTATCGATCACCACATAAATAATATTCTTAGAATAAATACACTCAATCACTTTATAGAACAAAAAAAATAAAGTCTTGGCATTTTTAACTAAATTTAAAGCATTTATAAATTTCACAAAGACCATTTCATGTGCAAAATAGACTAAGAAATTTATCAAAATTTATTACCTCACACTAGCCATAAATCTATATATAGTGCTTTTCCATTTAGCCCGTTTGATTTTTAATAAGTAATTGACATTCTTTTTACCAATCTATCAACAAGTTAATTTTCAATTCATTAACGTTAAGGGCATAATGATCCTAAATTTTAAATTAAATAAAAAAATTTCACCCAACAAATATTTTATTCAAGTAACTTTTTATAGAAAATGAAAAGTGGTAATTTAATGAAACTTATACTGATAACCTTTTTAAAGATCCAGAGTTCGAATTCTAAACAAAAGTTTGATTCCATTTGATTTTAAATTATAAGAAATTTCTGTGTCTTTCCTTATAATTTTCCTTGTGTCCTTTTTTGTAAATTCCCAATTTCCTAATGTTAAGATATTTTTCTCTTTCTCCTGTGTCATTGGAACTCCAGAATCCAGATTCAGCGAGAGCCAAAGAGATCTTCCACGCGTTCTTGGCCCTTCTCCTCCTCGCCGTCGTTCTTCATTTCTCTCCTCACCACCGGCCACTTGTCTGCTTCCCTTTTCTGCTGTTGTTCGTCCGCCACTGTGGAAGTCAGGTGAGTGGTTGCGGCACTTTTCCGTTCCTTCTCTTCACCTTTGTTTGCTTGGTCTGTGGAATTAATTGGTTGAAGCTCTTCCTCTGTTGCCCTTCCCTCTCTACACTTGTTTCTTCATAGCTGAAAATATGTTGTGATTCTGCACTGCTCCTCCTATCCTGCTCCGTGTGGGGTGAACGTGTGGTTGGTCTTTGTCTCTTCTTCCTCCTTAGATGATGGAAGTAGCACTCTTGTGTATGGTAAGCTTGATTCTCTCTTTTGCTGTAGACGATTGTTGCTGTCTCCTGAGTGGTGCCTGTCATGGCTATTGGAGATGGTCACTAAAATTTTATTTAAATTGTTCCAGCTGGGTTTCATTGAAGGAGAGGGAAATTGAATTTCTTTGTTGTTTAAATTAGTGAGGGAAGAAGTTTGTTGAATGAGTGTGTGCGCGTGTGTGCGTGTGTGTGTGTGTCTTTTTTTTTTTTTTCATTCTTCTTGAATTTCTAGTTGAAGTTTCTAAGTTTGCTTGCTGCCAAGTGTAATTTAAATGGTTGATTGGGATTTAATTTGAGATGTTTTTGTTTTTTGATGATGCTTGAGTAGTGTATGAAAGTTTAATTTAGAAATTACATAATGAGGATAAGTTGGAACGGATGGAAATTGGTTATGTAATGAGAAAATAGAAATGCTTCTATGAGGCTTGTTTAAATGCTTAAGAAAAGGGAAGGTTGATTGATCGATATAGTTAAATTTGTGTTTATTGATAGAAAAGGAGAAGTGTAAATTTTGGTTTAAAAGTTTATATTGTAGATGAGAAAGCTTTAAGAAATTGCATTTGAACATAATATTATGGTACTTATTTTTAAATTAAAATGCTCATTCTTGAATTTGACTTGAAAATTACATAATAAATGATTTTAGTATTATGATTTATTTGTCAAAAAATTAAGGACATAATTAAAATTAGAGTGAAAATTTAAAAGAAGCAAGCTTTAGAATTCTTGAGAATCTCTTAGCTATATGAGTGTGTCTCAATTAAATTTTCTTAAATTTTTTTAAAATATCTTTATTTAATACTTTGTTTAAAGTCTATCTTTACAATTTATATTATCCTCTCTGCTTATCCTATTTTTATTTAATTACTTTATTACTGAAATTATTCTATTTTCTTAAAAAGTTATGCTATTAGATCTAATATGTAATGAATCGATTATTTATTCAAAATAATAGCATTGTTTAAATTTCATAATTAATTTGAAATCTGTTAATATGGTGATTCGTGCATAGAAAAAATGTTGGAAAGGAAAGTTGATAGTTTGAACATTATATTTTGAAAAGAATTATTTTAAAACGAATGCTTAGGTCCATACATACTTGATTTTGATTAAGGAGATTGAGTTTAAAATGTTGGATCCTAATAGCAATTCTATTAACTCTTGGCGTGTCATGATACATCTACCTAGCAGGGTGTTTGTAGGAGGTGTTAGTTCGTGTGCAGGCCAATGCACATGGAACGGAGGGATGGATATTTTACATGATTTCATTACAAGAGTCATAATATAGACAACCAAATGTCCTTAATGACAATAATAGCAATAATTTATGCAAATGTAAGACAACTAATTATTTGTTTTTCTTTGCTACTTATTACTTTCTTTCCTAGTGTTATTGGCCCAAGTTGTTCTAGTTATCTAAGCAACTAAGCTTTTTATGTAATTTTATTTTCTAATGAAATTTTATCTTTTATTATAAAAAAGGGATCCAATTGATGGTCCAACCATTTGTTCAATTTTTGAAACAATGCAAATTGAAGGAGAATAATAGAGTAGTCAAGTAGTTTGTAACTAATCCAAGTTGGTTATGTAACTGATTATTATCATACTTAGAGTCTAGCTAGTCTTGACCATGTGGCTCTCTCTCTCTCTCTCTCTCTCTCTCTCTCCTCTCTCTCTCTCTCTCTCTCTCTGTGTGTGTGTGTGTGTGTGTGTGTGTGTGTGTGTGTGTACACTATTCTTTCATTAATGAGAGAAAGATCATTCACTCCCATCAGACTCTCGTTCTTTCTTGTCCTTGTATGTATTATTTTCCCTGAAACCCTCTATTCACACGGCAAATATATTTACATTACCCACATCTAGTTTTAATATGGCGTCTTTTCCTATTTATCATATTCACTATAGGGTAACATATAATATTGAGCATAGAAATAGCAAACACTGCTACCCAAACAATAAAATTAAAATGTATTAACTCTTGTTGTGGTCTGCTTGTGGCCATTTTCAATCCTGATATTTAATTAGCCAACTTCAATTAGGATCATTCGTCTCGTCTTTCATATATAGAGATACATTACCCATATTTATGAGAAAATATAATTGCATATATAGACCACAAATAGTAGTATGCTCTTTCAGAATCACCCTTAGCAGTCTTCATAGTGAGCATCTTAAAACACACACATACTGTTGAAGATAGCACATGAATGCATGTATTAGACCTCAGGAGTATTAGGAGGAATACGTGTTGTTCTTGTTTGTGGGAGTCCAATGAACAAGTCAGTTTCCACATCTAAAGTTGGAATATTTTCTGAGGAGGTTGGATCTTCGCTTGTGTTCTCTGTTGTCGTCTGATGATATGGCTCGATACCATACTGCACAGTAAAATATTCTGTTACAAACTAATAAAATAATATTACAAGCATTATTTTATAGGTTTGACACTAAAAATGACGAACCATATAAAACAAAAGCACAGTGTATATACCTTTTCACATAGTCTTGCGTTTTCTGCCGTAAAGGTTCGTTCCTATATTGCAACAATACAAATCAGCATTTTGTGGCATTGAATCTTTCCACATGGAGTCAAACTCTACACACACACACACACACACACAGAAGAACATCTATGCAATTTGAAACCAACGGATTTTAGATGCAGACACCTATGAAGTTGTCGCCTAATGGGCTAATGAGGTAGCTTGATGAGTACGTATTTAAAAAAAAAGAGAAAATTATGTTGAAGTCTTACAAAAAAAAAAAATAATAATAATCACCACAAGATCCATTAACAACTTAACCAAAACCGTTAGTTCAATTATTAATAAGCCTTGTGATTATTAATTTTCTTATGTAGGATCTATTTATAATTTTTCGAAAAAAATGATAAGAAGTAGAAGTAGAACTACATTATTTTTGTGAATGCTATGATTTCAATCTTCTTCTTCTTCTTCTTCTTCTTCTTCTTCTTCTACATCCTATGGTACTTATCTAAAAATAAGTTTTCATGGAAAAAGACATAATAACCCCACTTAATGAAAAGATCAAATGTGTTGTTATTAATCAAGAATGAATTGTTGTCAAAACCCAAATGTGTTATTATTTTAAACTTTAAGGGTAATTAGATCTTCTCCCATAAAAAAAACTTATTTTCATATGAATACCATGGGGTGCAATGCAATATCAAAATTTTAATGTCCTCAGCTAATATAAAATTTTTCTAGCAGTCATCAACTGATATTTTCCCAAAATTAAATGCAAAATCATACTCAAGTATTAAATCACTGTCTCAATTAATGTGACCAGCATACATTTTCTCTTAGTCGCTCCATTTGTTCTATAAAAGTCCGAATCTGAAAAAAAAAAAAGTTGAGATTTAGATATTAAATTAACAATATTTTCAGAGTAAAACTCTATATACTTATCAAGTAAATAATAACCTTTCTTGCTCGAACGTTTCTTAGACTCTTTTGCAGCTGCTGTTGTATCTCTTCTAGTTCTTGAAGCGAGCATGAGCCTAACCCTTCTCCCAAGAGTTTCCTGAGGGATTGAAATTTTCACAAAAGCAAAACGTTATTTTTATGATGATCAATCCATTTTTAAATCAACTTTAAAGAAAATCTCATGATAATTGAAGTTCCAAGTATTGATATGGAACCGTTTTGAAACTTCAAGATGTTCAACCCTCTCCATCATTTCTGTTTCTTCATTTAAAAGCTGCCATTGACAACATGCAATGCCATTTAACGATTATCAACAAACTAATATAACAAAAAAAATTTATCCATAAAGAAAAAGAGGATGAAATGCTGTGGAAACGTTCAAAGCAAAATATAGAGTTTAAAAAACAGTGAGCATTGATTAGGTGAAATCTCATTTTCATTTAATCTTCTAAAGTCCCCCCTCCTTCATAATTATTCCAAATTTTTTAAAAAACCTATTCACCAACAAGTGTGATGATTCTTTGATGCATAATTTATCTACATGTTTGGCATTGCTTAGGGCATGAAATCTTAAGCTTGAGTTTTGAAGAGATGTATCAATGATAGATTCTAATTTCCAAAACTGGGAACATAAATCAGATTTGATCAATCCTTTATTTTCTAAATTTATCTTTTTAAGACATTTTTAGAGAATCTGGCCTTATTGCTGATTGATCAATTGCCACTCATGACAATGTCACCCCTTATTCGTGACATGGCCTCTCAATTGAAGCTTCAATGTCATGAAAACAAATTCAAAGAAAGTGTACATTCCAAAAAATTATTCTATTAAAGAAAGTCCCTCACACATATAAACCTCATTTTACTTATAAGGTTCCTCTAATGTGAGACTCATGACACTTTAGTGTTGGACCAAGATAGATCTTGTGTTGTTTCTTTATGCCTTATTTCTGCTTCCTGCTGTTTAAATTAACTCTCGAACTTTTAGTTAAGTGTGTAAGTTTCAAATCAAGCTACTTGTCATAATTTAATTTCTTTTTTTTTTTAAACACTTTAATCAGTCTGTCTTGTCTTAGTGTCTAATAACAACTAGGAGAAAATATAAACAAAATTAATTACTAAACACGCAAGTCATCATTCTCTTCACTGCACAACTTTCTCCTATGATAAGTACGAACCGTTCAGTAGAATGAATGCACATAATGAGGAAGATAAAGAACAGGAAAGAATTAATAACCTGCATGCTTTGTTCCATGTATCTGGTGGCTGTCTGAGCATCTCGAGTATAACTACGATACCGTTCAATTGTCTCTCGCAAGCTGTAGAATCAAAGCAATTAAGTATTTGCAGTAAAAGATATGAGACACAGCCAAGTTAATTTGGGACCTGTTTGTTTTCTGTTTTTAAAAATTGTTTTTTATGTTTAAAAACAGAAAAATTTAAAAATTTGTTTGGATAAATGTTTTTTATTTAATGCCTATTTGGATTGCTTCATTAATCGATTTTTTGGGTCAAAAATCGATTAATGAAAAAAATTATCCAAGCATCAATAAAATTGGTTAGCGGGTTGTTGGGGAAAAATCAATTTTTTTCAAAGGAGAAAGTTACAAATAAAGGCCCAAGAAAAAGATTACAAGAAAAGCACAAAATTTAATAAAAATAAAATCAAACTCTCTTCTTTTCTCTTTTTTTTTTCCTCAATAAAATTCAAACTTCAAATTTTTAAAAAGTTGCTAGCATAAGTTCCTGTCAATTACCACCCTCTACTTAGCACTTACTATAAAACTATGACAAATATGCTAGCAACTTTTTTAAAAATTCAAACTTCAAATTTTTAAAAAAGTTGCTAGCATAAGTTCCTGTCAATTACCACCCTCTACTTAGCACTTACTATAAAACTAATTCAAATAAAATATTAATTGGTAAAAAAAATTAATTAATTTAATTTAAAATTTAGGGTTATTATAAAGATTGTTGCAAAGATCTAGAGAGAGAGAGAGAGATTTTACATCATTAGTGACATTGCTATATTTCTTATATTGTCAAAATTTTAAAACAGTGCTTAATATCTTTATCCAATATAGCTCATATCCATAGTGTCATTAGAAATCAATTTATATATTATCATCTTCATTAGTTATCGTAAAATTAATGTTTGGTATTTAAAAAATTAAATCTTTCTCTTTTATTAAATTTATTTAAACTAAGATATGTTAATTTATTTATTTATGAAAATTAAATTATTAATATTAATATAATTTAAATTTTTATAATTAATCAGATATGTAATTTAAATAATATATTTTACCTTTTAAATAAAATTAAACAAATTTAATAATATTAGATACAAATATATTCATAATTAATTTTGAAAAGAAATATCCTCTATGATAATTTATACAGCTGAAATTAATTTTAATTAAGTTATCCAAATACCTTTAATTATGTTAAAATTAATTTTAAAAAAATAATATCCAAACAGATTATGTTATAACTTAGTCAATTATGATTAAAATCAATCATTCAATTAATTATTTTTATAATTAATTATATCCAACTGACATTCAAACGGGCACTTAGTTGTTTCTAAAATTGCTTTCATTTTTTGCTTTTAAAAACAAAAAAATAGAAACAACCTTAAGTTTTTTTTGTTTTATTTTTCTTGTTTTTAAAATAACATTTGAATATTAAAAATTATAGTTATCTTGATCAATATCTATTATTAATTACCACCATTAATTATCTATAACCATCACTATCAGTCTATTTTTTAATTTTAAAATTTTTTTAATTGACATAATCAAACAAATTTTCATTTCATTTTGTTTTAGAAACAATTTGAAAAATGTATTAGAAAACAATTTTTAAAAAAAAATAAAAAAAAAACCAAACAGGCTCTTAATCTATGAATAAATGGTAGTTGCTTGGAGAATGGGAGGAAGGAGACGGAGGGTATTATCATTATCAAATCCCTAACCAATGGTTTGGATGGGAGAGAAAAATGGGGAGGATGGAATACTAGGAAGAAAAACTTCCATAAATATTTAAAAAATTACTCCCGTCAATCCAAAAATATAATTAATTTAGTATTTATAACTTTTTTTCATTTTACCCCATATAGATTCCTACATCCATAAATTTATGACCCATTTTCTCACTCATCATAAATTGAAACTGTAACTATAAGGTGAAAAGGAAAAACAATATATGACTTTATAGAAATAATGATTCTATTGATATGCCGATTATTGTTAAAAGCTGTTTATAACTGAAATGAATACTATTTTAATAAGTTTCACTAGTTAGTATTCTCAATCTTTTCTTTGTTTTCCTTCCACTTTTCTCTCAATCCAAACCAAGTCTTTCAGGAAAAAGGGTGGAAATGAAATTTTGAGATGGACAATAAATTTTGTTTTCCTAGGTTGCTCGTCAGCTTCATTATCTATACAATCTTGATTACGGTTCATGCATATGATCATTTGATTTGATGGACGTAAAAGTTATAACAGAGACAACAATTCTGTAACAAGGTGTCACTTTTTGGCTCTTAACATAAATAATCTCTACTAGATGTGATCTGAAATTGAAATTACATACATAAATAACTTTTTGGATACCCTACAGGAGAGTTGTCATTATACTCAAGAGACAGTCTCCACTACAAGGGAGATAGATGTCTAACTGAAATATTAAGCTTAAATTAATATAATGAACATATGTGTATCAACGATATAATGAACATATGAATACAAAAAGTCTCTTACAATGTTATGCAAAAATAACAATGGATTGCAATATTACTATACATGTTTTGTCAGCTTCATTTTCATAAAAATTAGTGAAGTCAATGATAAGCATTTTTTTGTCACAGTACATTCAACTAATTAGTATATTATAATTATAATTTCATTAGTGTACAAGAAACCATTAGTGGACATAGTTAACATATAATGCACAGATAGAAACAAAATGCTAAACAGACAAGAAATTGACATCTTATCCTGCCACACACATGCATCAATGCAATGGCTTTCTATGTTATTTATTCCATGGAACTGAATGAAACAAAAATTAAAATTAGATTATAGTAATAATATAAATAAAAACATTTTTTACCTTCTCTTAAAAATTAATGAAAAGATCCATTTAATCAATTAATGAAACGATACTTAAAAATATATAAAAATATGCATATAATGTTTGCAGTACACTTTTTTAAAAGACACCGCACATCATTGAATATCTCAGTTCCTTCCCTTATAGGGAAGTGAAGCAACTTATAATCTAACGAGACTAGAATTTGTTTTCCCACGCGCAAGGTCCACTTTTTTTTCCCAAAAGAAATTATATTTTATTAATATCTCAAAAAAACAAAAAAAAAAGGCATTGCAAACACAATTGGTAAAATAAATTAAAACATAAAATAAGTTCTAACTTACTATCTTAGACTACTCTTTATTATCCTTGATATAAAATAAACTTTATTTTTTATTTGTTATCAATATAAATAAAGTTAGAATAGTTTTTTAATTTTATTACTTTTTTTATTATGGTTTGAATTCTTAAGACAATAATTTAATATAGTTATTAATTATTTAAAAAATTACATAATTTTTAACAATTTAAATATTACTCCCCTCCGTTAAAAAATATAAAGTATTTTTTTAGGAATTAAATGTTAAAAAATATAAAATATTTTTAATCTTTGTGTAATCATTAGTATTTTTTTTGAAATGTCTCTATTGATAAATGACTTTATATTTATTGTAGAGTATTTAATATAGGTAAATATGAAAAGATAAAGTTATTTAAAAATAAATTACTACTTTATTAGAGAATAAGATTCAATTAAAAATTTATTATATTTTTTAATAGAGGGAGTAACCATTATTTAATAAGCATATTTTTAGTAAGTCCAAAAATGATCAAGCTCAACTTATAATAAAGACAAAATAAAGTAAATGATAATTATTAATTGCAATGCCCAAAAAAAGTGGAGAAGGTATGATACTTTTAAATAATTGTAATAATGGTGTCTGAATTGGAATTTTGTGGATCGAAAAAAGCTTAATGAGATTGAGAAAACCATAGCCATTTATAACCTGAGAAAATAAGAATTCGAATTCCCGCTTCAGTGACGAAGACTTGTTGAAGCCACAGAATCCATCACCCTTCGGTAGCTGATGAAAATTTCATTATATGATCGCGAACTAAATATAAGTAACTTGTTTAGTAAAAATTATTTGTCTTGTAAATAAAAATGATGGACTTTTACAAAGAGTAATTTAAAAAAATTATAATAAATAATTATTATTAAAATATGTTATTTTGCTTATAAAAAACAAATCAACAAATGACAGTTTCTCCTGTATTTAGAAATAGATAAAGTAAGAAGTACAATAGGATGGTACAAATCATCAAGCAGCAACACAAACCATAAATTTGTGTGTGTGATTGAAGAATATATAATAAACATACACACACATATACATACTTGGAGCTTGAAAATTCGCAGAGCTTGCCTTTGGGGGAGAAGATGATGAGACCAACGTCAGCATCACACAGAACTGAGAGTTCAGAAGCCTTCTTTAACAGTCCATTTCGCCTCTTTGAGAATGTCACTTGCCTGTTTGTTGCGTTCTCTATGCGCTTCATCTCTATCTTCCCTCTCCCCATCTTTAATATTCTTCAACGCTCTCTGTGAGAATCTAAATCAGGAAATACCTCAGAGAAATTATAGAGTACTATATATATATATATATGAACAGAAAAGGTATGGATAGTTTCTACTTTCTGGAGAGATAGGTTGAAATTAATTAAGAGAATAAATGGGAAGTTCACCAAATTGGCAAAAAAAAACCAGAGAACCTGATGATATGTGTTTGAACAGAAATGGCCTAAACAAAAGTCAGGAGAAAAAGAAAAAGAAAGTGTACTTTGAAATCCAAAAGGAGAGAATACTGTAGAAAACCTTCTCAGAACTATGAGGTAATGAGGGTAGTGTGGAGTTTCAGAAAGAGGAAGAGCAAGAGGAAGCCCAAACTTCTATATATAGTGGTGTTTAGGTTTTTGACCTTCATGGGAAGATTGAACCTACCTTATCTTAATCAATAATAAATAATAGTTAATAATATTTCACCTCCTTCGTTTTCCACGACCTCATAAAGAAACAAAGGAGATTTAAATGAAAGTGAAAATCGAAACCTCGTCATTTACCCAAAAAGAATTGAAACACAGCTTCATCCTTTGCTTGTCTTGGTAATTAAAAATCTAGTTCACTCATTCAAACGCGCAATAAAATCATAATAACATCATCATTGTTTTTGTTTTCCTCACAATCAGTTTTCGGTGGGAAGAAATGATGGAACCTCAAAGTAATGAGTAATGACCCCTTTCTTCCTTTCTCAAGTACTGATTTTAGAAAGTAATTGTGTTTAATGATTCATACAAATATTAATGATTTCTAATGATTCATACAAATATTAACAGAAAGGAATCAAGGGACAGAATGCAATAGTTAGCATATTAGGCCTAATACAAGATATTCAGGCCATGAGTTTAATTAGTTTAGCTAATCTGTATTTTTTTTTTGAAATAAGTTTATCTTATTTTATTTTCATATTTAAATTTAGGAAATTAGCTTATTTTGTTTTAAATTTAAATAAGGATATAATATATTCATTATGGATATGATTTATCCATTTAGAATCCTAGATTAACTAGGATTACATCATTTAGATTAACTGACATTTAGACCAATATGTAATTAAAATTATTATATTTATTTTAATAATATATTATTTAAAATTAATCCTTCCTCCGTTAAAAATATAAAACATTTTTTGAGGAATTGAATATTAAAAAATATAACGTATTTTTAGTCTTTCGAGATATAATCATTGCCTTTTTTTAAAAGTGTCTCTATTAATGATGACTTTACATTTATTGTAGGGTGTTTAATAGGGGTAAATATGAAAAGATAAAGTTAGTTTGAAAACAAGTAACTACTTTATTGAAGGTAAAATTTAGTTAAAAATGCTTATATTTTTTTAATAGAGGAAGTAATTAATAACTTAATATATATATATATATATAATAATTTTAATATTATTATTATTATAAATATTCACACAAAATTTATAAGTTAACATTTTATATTTAAATTTTTTTAAAAAAATTACAACTTAACTAAGGTATTTATGATTTAAAAATGGATGCAATTTTTTATGAATATAATAGTTGAGTTGTTAAAAAGCATCTATCTATAAATCTCACATCTACCAGTTGAACTGTTAAGCTATTAAGTATTAAAATATTAATTTTTAATAAGATATTATTGAAACAAACATATTATTTTTTAATTACTTACCAACATTAGTGTTAATAATGATGACCTGATAATCACTCGATAGCCAATCAAAATTGAATTTTATTTTATTTACATATAAATGAAATTACATTTACCTCTTGGTATTTATTTGTAAGAAAGAGAATTTAATTAATATTAACTTTCTTACATTGTATTTACTTTTAATTTTATTATTCTTTTTTTATATTTTTTGAATCATTTTCTGTAATTTTTTATCAATTAACTATTAAAAATAAAATTAATAAATATGTCATATGTGCAATAATATTGAAGAAAGAATATGAAAAAGATGACATTGAACAAAATTATTAAAAAATTATTTTTATTAAAATATACTCCCTTAATTAAAAAATATAAATTATTTTTTATCTATTTTTAAATTAATCATATTTTTTATACTTACTCTTATCAAATCACCTACAATAAATATAAAATTATTCATTAATAAAAATATTTTTTAAAAAAATGAAAAATTATATTTTATAAAATTAAAAATAATTTATATTTTTTAACATTTAATTCTTTAAAAAATATTTTGTATTTTTAAATAGAGGGAGTGAGATATTTTGTTATGTTAAATTTTTTTTAAAAACGCTTTGTAATTTAGTACGTTGAGTAATAACTATGGGAAATGCAACCTTTAAGTTTAACTGCTGAACTGACTGCTGAGTGACATCTGACTCTGTGCTGTTCTACGTCCGTACATAAAGTACTAAGCGCCAATGACAATTCGAAACGCATCATTTTGAACCTTCGAAACGCATTGTCGACTTTTCTTTAGCTTTTGTTTGTTTGTTCTGCTTTTGGCTTTTCCCTTTGTACTGTGTCGTTTACTTTGTGTCGTTTGCTTTGTTTCTTTGTTCCTTTGTTTCGGAACTCTTTTGTGACCTGTTTCGGCTTTTGCCCCGCAGTATATGGATGCATTTCAGAATTAAAAAAAGAAAAAAAATACTTATATACTTAATATTATATTATTAATGAACTTGTATTTAATTAAATCAGCACATGTAAATTTTTATAAATTATTTATTTTATAATAAATTTTTGTTATTGATTAAACTAATATATTAAGACCCATATGTTATAATTTAATAGATAAAGAGAAAAAAATACTCACAAAATAATCAGTCAAAGGCACCCAATATTCTAAAGAAAGAAAAAGGATAAAAGTACTCATAATGTTACATGAGTAGGTGGAAAAGTGAACAAACTGTTAACTTTGACTGTTAAATGCTTACTGTGCATGCCACATGTTAGTCTTTACTAACGTGAACTAATCAAGAGACAAAAATACTCATAAAATCATCAGCTAAGAATAAAAATATCCACGAAGTTATCAATCAAGGACAAAAATAGCCATAACGCTTTCAAAGTTGGTGTAAAAGTGACCAATTCATCAAATTCCTTAAATATTGACCGTTTAGTTGACATCTAAACACAAATTGACCATCTTTTCACTGTTGTGAATAAAAATATTCTCAGATAAAATTCTCTAAAGGTAATCGATCAATGTATAAATATTATGGAAGAAAATGTCATTTTGACTTAATATCAAATCAAATTGTTTGTTTCTTTACAGCAGTAGCAAGAACAATTTGAAATTTTTAAATTTATCGTGAATGAAATTACTTAAGGTTATGACAATGTTCTTAAGGTAAGGTAGCGTAGGAGGTGTTCTCAATCTCGATTTTCAATTATATACAACTTATCTCATTATGTTGAATCTCAAGTTTTGCAAATAAAAAAAAATGAGTGTAGAGGGAAGGAGGAAGGGGACGAGATACGTGGCAATGAAAAGAAACATGTGACATGAATTTTGATGGATTGGTCACTATTGCACTACTAAAGTAACATTATAGGTACTCATATAATGATCAACAACATCCGTAAAAATTCATCTAGAAATTTTTTTCTACATCAGTGAAAAAATAATCGATTTCTACTTATATGTCAACTAAAAAATCAACATTTAAGGGATTTGATAAATTTGTTACTTTTGCACCAACTCTGAAAACGTTATAGGTATTTTTATCATTTTCTTCACTTTAGGATATTAGATGCCCCTGGTTGACCACTTTGTGGGTATTTTTACCTCTTTATCCTAATTTAATTGGATATAAGTATATTAAGTATATAAAGTTAAGTACATAGGTTTAATCCTTAAAAAAAAAACTAATTTTGTAAAACATAATATATTTTTTGGTCTTTTTTCTACCTTAGAAAAAAGTATCAAAACATCAAAAAGATGTTTTTATTTTCTTTTTTTTTTATTTTTCAGAATAAATTTTAACCTTTTGTTTTTAGAGCAAATAATAGTAAACGCATTTTCTATTAAGTTTTTTTTTATAATAAAAAATTATTCTAAAAATAGGTAATCAAACCAACTTTTAGTATATATAATTTTGATTCAATTTTAACTTAGCTCCCACACTTTTAATTTGGTATGATAGCCTCAATAGTCTGACTTATGCTATATTTGATAGAAGAGAAAAGTGGGAGGAATAGCATTTTCCCCGCTTTGCTACTACGAAGAAAAATGTGAATGGAAGAAAAATGTGAAATAAAAATAATATATAAGATTTGCATGTTTTCAACTTTTCTCTCTAAATATAGAAAGATTTTGAGCAAAAAATTTCATTTTCAAATTTAGTCACCAATTTTTTCGTTGCTGCCTCTTGCTTCTCTCCATTTTTATCATTATATTTGTAGTGTAATTACATTTTGATCATGGACCTTTGCTAAACAAGCAGTATATTTAATTTTTAAATTAATTAAACAAATGCTAATTCAAAATTATCATGTTAATTTTCAGTTAAGTATCTTATATTTGGTTGTAATTTCAAATCTAAAGATTATTGTATATTTAATAATTTAATAAATATTATTTTAAACTGGATAAAATAATTAAAAATTATTTTTTGTTCAATCAATAATATATGATAAAGATTATATTATTATTATAAACATAATATTTTCAAATATTAAATTTATTATATAAATATTTTATTAATAGTAAAGTTATTATTGCCCATATAAAATTAATAACTTTTTTTTTCTCCCTGTTTTCTCTCGTTCAATTAAGTATAATGAGAGAAAATTATATCTCTTCACTTTTCTCTCTTTATTTTTTTCATTTTCTCTTCTCTGATTTTCTTTCCTTCTTATTTTTCCTTGCATGCCAAGCAAAATATTAGTATTTAAATTTTGATTTGATGCAACTTAATTTTTATAATTTTTATTATTTAAAATATTAGTTCCTAAATATCAAGGCTTTAATGTTTATAATTTTATTTTTTAAAATATAGGA